TTCTGATGCCCTTGAGCTTGGAGCTCAAGCTCAGGATTCAGGGGATGAGACTTGGTGCTTGGGGTTCGGGGGGTTCAGGGGTTTAGGGGTTTTAAGGGTTTTAGGGTTTTAGGGGTTTTAGGGGTTGTATGGGTTTTTAGGGGTTTTTAGGGGTTTTCAGGGGTTTGGGGGTTTAGGGTTTAGGGGTTCAGGGTGCTATCTGCGCCGGCACAATTTCGATTGAAGCTAACGTCCTGCTTTCCTATGGAGCTTCTTCTCTGAAGACGTCCGTCGTCTCAGCCCTCGACTCCCTTAAAGCTCCCAGAGAGCCCAATACCCCTAAATTATAGGGCCCTTAAGATTATGATTTAAGTATATTCCGTAATTAAGGGGGATTGGGTTCTCTGGGCTTAAGCCCCACGTGCACTGCCGGAGAAGCTGTATTTCAGATACCCCGCCACCAGGGCCTCTTTATGGTAGCTGGAACCTACGTCCTGACTAAATTTACGTTGCATTTGTTTCAGATCCAAGGTGGCTCCTAGATTCCTAGATGCCCTCCACATGTTCTTTCTTCGGGTTACCCTAGCACCGACCCCTGAACCCGCAACGTAAGCGCGGTCTTTTTTTAGCAAAGAGCTTCGTTCCCGAATGTAGGTACCTGGTTAATGACAACTCTTGACCTGAGTCCCGAGCTTGAAAGGATCCATCTGAACAGCCATCTAATGAAGCTACGGTTGACGATATAAATCCTGCAGTCTTGCATTACCCATAATGAGCCCATAATGAGGAATATACCATAATTCCCATAGTTTAGGGTCCTTAAGGGTAATGCTAAGGATTTGTATCAGCAACAGTATGTCTTGTTCAGGCTCCTAGATTGCACGCTAAGCTTCCTAAACTGCTACCCTACAACCCTAAAACCCTTGAGCTTGCTTAGACCCTAAACCTCTGAACCTACACAGTTTCAGTTCTCTTACCTGGAACCCAAAGCCCTCTTCCGCTAATTCGGGCCCCTAAACTACGTCCCACTCAAAATCCCTCTGTCGACTTGAGCCCAGGTACCTTCGAGGTGGCGAGGTGATCGAGGGGTTTCAGGGCTTCTGGTAATTTTTTGGAGATCGTTGAAAATACGAGTAACACTAAAAACCATCATCATAATCACAACCGCAGTAATAGTAATAGTAATAAGAGCAGAAATAGCAACGATTTTCATAAGGCAGGGGATGTGACTAGTCAGGGCCTTACATTATATTTTTTATCAGGGCTCGATCTACAGAGGATCCCCACTGCTAAAGGTCTAACCCGAGTCCTCCATCGTCTGCAACTCGCATTATGGGTAGTTCTCTTAAAGTAGGGGCCCTTGTAGGGTCCTTTTTGCGATGTAAGGCTGCCGTATCATATTTTTGGACCTAAAAAAGGGATCCCCGTTTAAAGAACTACCCATATGGCTCAAAACTTCTGAGACAGAAGCGGCCCTAAAAATGCTCAGGACTTAGATGGATGGCAGGATGCCTTTTGACTGTTTCTGCTGTAGTTGCTGCATGATTTCTAGAGGGTTGCACCGCTTCTTTCTCCTTTTGGGATGCAGGGACATGCAGAATGTGCGCTCAAAAATCTGAACCACCATACTCTGACCTTGTGTGTGTACTTTGCATATCGTTTACAGGGCGCGGATCTTGCGCTGGCAAGCGTTGTTGTGAGCTTGGCAGAGCTATTGTAAACCTTTGATTCAGAAACCCCTAAACCCTTTGGCAAGCGCCAGAATTCTAAAATGACACATTTATTGCAGGAGAGGGTGTACTAAAATCAGGGGTCTACATACATGTTGCCATGGAAACTTAGCTTCGCGGCAGGTCAGAGTAGAAATCAAGCCACCAAAAAATCCGACGTGATCGGTCCCAAGTCCCAAAGCCTGGGTATCCTGGTGCCCACCTTAATGATGATATAACAACAATTAAAGTGGAGTAGGACAGGGGTCCTGATACAAAGACGCCTAACGTCGGGGAGTTCATTCAACAGGGGTCTAAAATATGAGCTTCACAGAGCAGTACAACCCTAAACCTTAAAGTACCTCAATAAGAAACCCAGATATCCTTCAGCAGGTGCCGCGGATGCGCCGTGTTTCACCCGGCCATCGACTCCTTTCTGCAAAAGAAACGAAGCTGGCGGTCTTTGCAGAACTTCTGGTTTAGGGTTTTAGGGCTTAGGGTTCAGAACACTAAAGATATATAGGGGTCGGAAGAACCAGTGGTAACTACGATACCCCGTTATAGTCGCCATGCAACCTTCCCAACCCCAAACCCTATTCTAATTTCTAAAGCGCCTATGTTGCCTTGTTTGGGGATCCTTTTTGAGAAGGGACCTTGTTACTTAGGGTCCATATTGGGATCCCTTATGTGCTCAATCAGGACAACAAGGCATCTAGGTTTAGGGTTTCAGGGTTTCCACAAAGCCATAAATCACTTCCGACTCAGCACGCGAAAATTCGAGCCCCTCAACTGCAAGGACAACCCCTGGAGCCTTTGGGCTTCATACTTAAACCCCAGGCCAGAAAGCTGAAATATGCATATTCCTCACATGTCCGACGGTGTCCTTCTCATGGTTGAGCTTGCATACAGAAAAATCCTATCAAAGCCCGAAAGAATCCAATAACACCTCATACATCCTCGATACAACCAACCCCCTTTAAAATGCAACCCTCAGAGACCCTGTCCCGCTGCAAACCGTACACCACCATCTTCCCTCAACCCTAAACCCGAAACCCCAAACCCTGAAGCCTAAAACCCTAAACCCTAAACCCCTAAAACCCCCCAAAACCCCAAACCCCTAAACCCACTTCCTTTAAGGATCGAGCCCTGGCTGTGCTTGAAGCCGCCCTCACAGCGCTGCCTGGCGCGCGGAGCCCAGAGTCGATCCAGGGGGGCTTTTAGAGGTTTTAGGGCTTTAGGGGCTTTAGGGTGTTAGGGTTTTAGGGGCTTTAGGGGTTTTAGGGCTTTAGGGGCTTTAGGGTTTTAGGGTTTAGGGGCTTTAGGGGCTAGGGGCTTTAGGGTGTTAGGGTTTAGGGCTTTAGGGGCTTTAGGGTTTAGGGCGTTAGGGTTTAGGGGAGTCGATCCAGGGAGCTCCGGTTTTCCAACCGCCCCAACGCTTCAACTCTGTTCTTTGGGGTTTTTAGGGGCTGTTAGGGGCTTTTAGGAGTTTTGGGGGTTTTAGGGCTTTAGGGGTTTTATGGTGTTTAGGGCTTTAGGGTTTAAAGGGCTGGTAGATGTGGATGTTTATGGAGGTTTTACGATTCTTATCGAGCTTTTGCAGGGGTTCTCGAGGGCCGAGACCCTTCAGAACGCCTGCGGCCTGTGGTAAACCCTCTAAAGATATCCGCAAAATCCTACAACCCCCTATGGTAGCCCTAAGGAAGAACCCTTAACAAGCCCCCCTTTATATGGCAACCTTAAAGAAACCTGTTTTCAAACAAGGACTCGGGGGCCTACCTGGTTTCCCTCTCTGTAAAGAAACCCCCTGAGCAAAACCTTATTACCGCTAGTATTACCCCCATGGTCGCCCTAAGGAAAAACCCTAAATGCCCTCTTACAAGGCATCCATATGCTAGCCTTAAGGAAAACCTTAAAAGGCTCCCAGACCCCCTGAGCCTCAAAGGTGCAGCCTTTCGACCACGCCGAGCCCGAGAGTTGGCGAGCCTCCGCGCCAAGTGGGCTTGTTGTTATAATTTAGCGCTCCAAGGTCGGTTTAGGGTTTCGGGTTTAGGTTTAGGTAGGTTGTTTAAATTAGGGTTCCTTGTTTTTAAGGCCCCATTATACATGGTACGGCACCCTTGTAACAGGGACCCTAGTTTAGGGATTTAGCGCTCAAAGGTAGGGGAGCCTTTGGGGGTTTAAGGGCCTTAGTAGTAGGGGGTTTAATATGGTTCAATATGATACCCTCCCTTGGGCTCCTCATTATCACCCTGATTCGATGTATCCTAGTCATGGTAGTAATAGTAGTAGTATCAGTAGTAGTAGTAGTAGTAGTAGTAGTACTTGCAAATCTAGGTATAACCGACTTGCTGAGGGGCTTGAGGCTTGTGATCTTTTAGCCTCACAAGAAGGGTTCATGATGCCTGCTTGGGAGTGCGGACTTGCCCAGAGCATGGGAACTCAGACCCCGTAATGCGCAGGAACCTCAACACGCACCACTAGTCTTCACAGTTTAGGGTTTAGGGCTTCAGCTCCTTGAAATTTTCAAATCATGGCAAAGCATGCCCCAAAACAAAGGCCCCAGTCTCTCTTGCGAGACTGCATGCCTTCAAGCTCTCTAGTCAAGGGCTCCCAAATCCCAAAGCCAGTGCGGAACCTGGAAAGGGAAAGCTTGAAGACACTTGAATCCTACACCCTACACCCCCAAAAACCGCTGTCCTTTGGGAAGTTACGGCCTCCATGTCTCTGCTTCCCAGGGTTTAGGGTTTAGTGTTTAGGGTTTTAGGGTGTTGCGCATGGCCCAGTGAGTTTGATAGGGCAACTCATTGGGTCGCACGATCACCAAGATTGCGGTTCACCAATTCAGATCCGAATGTTTTTGCGAATCGGAGGGCTCGGGAAGCTGGCTTCTTTTTGGCTCAACCGTCAGTATCACACGCTTGTTTCTTTCAAGAGGGTTCGCAGCAGCCAGCACATGTGAATAAGGAACAGGCTAAGAAGTGTTTCGGCATTGGGCACGGGATTCTGCGAGCAATGGGGCTCACATACTGCAGCTTCCTGCGACAGGTCTTCTGCAAGACAAAATTTGTGGGATCTCGAAAAGCTGTCAGGGTTTTTGGTGTCAGTGTTTCTATTCAGACATGCGTGCTGTTCCCATCTCACGCTTGGAACTTGTGGCTCCAGGCTGCCGAACGGGATGCTGCAGGGTAATCTTGCCCAAGCCATTATGGAGATTGCCTTTATCTAAACATCCTCGCATCACAACCAGAAACTTGCAAACGGCACGTGATATCACAAAGAACCAGACTGCTAGACCAAGCCCGAAAAACATTGATGGCTGCTGCCGCCGTTCGCATCGCCAAGGTTGAGTTCAGCAAGCACTCCACAACACTGGTAGCAGCCAGCCATGGCTTCCCTGCAGGCGCACGGATAAAGGTGGAAGGGCTGCCGGAACTGCAGCGAGAGACCTTCATAGTTAATTGGTCAACAGACGGCCGATTCTCGATCTGGCGCAACATTTGCGTGGAGATTTCCAGTGTGGACCCGTCCGAATCTATCGTCCGTACAAGGAGCCCACATCAAATCAGTAGTTTTTTGGATAATGTTACGCTGCACGTTTTCGACACCGACGTCCACCTTATGGTCGAAAAGGCTTTCCATATCAATGAGGTTGTTGACGATTGTTCTGTGCGCCTCAGGGCTTGGTGTGGTGATCAGAGGACATGGTACCCAGCAAGGCTATCTGCCAATTGGGCCGGCGGATCGTTGAGTATGAAGCATTGCGACGTGGTTCTGTCGCAGTCACAATGCACAGGCTCTGGTGTTGCAACGCTCGCTTGTCGGCCACCCGTCTCTGAAGAGTCATGCATTCAAGACTGGCGCGAGGCATTGCGGGCAGTGCGGGGATGCGTCAGCAAAGAGGTGCCGCCTGCAACGCAGGCTGCGCTTCCAGGGTCACCGCTGCTACACGTCCAGCATTGTGGATGGGAGCACTGCATTGGTATTTTCCAGCGCACCAGCGAGATGAAGTTCGAGTTGGGGCCGTTAGTGTCCGTCGTCTATGTGGAGCAACTTCAGATGTGGTGCCTCCTCGCCGACGTTGAGGCCGTCTACCCTTTGTGTGAGCGGCGCTGGGATTTGGGACTGAAAGACTTTGATGGTCCTCAGCTTCTCTACATTCGCGCAGCAAGTCCACTCGGTCGCTGGGAGCCTGTGATTGGCCCAGGGCCAGGTGGGTGAAGGGCTTCAGACGTTGAAGTTTAGGGCCAGGTTTGGGGTTGTGGCGGTTGGCTTTGAGGAGTGTGGGGCTGAGGAGGGTTGCGGGGTTGAGGAACTTAAGACCATCCTGGACCCTCCTTCCAGAAGGATCCCGCGGACCTCAAATTTCTGAGTACTGTGAGGTCCTCTTGTCAGCATCTACAAAGAGGTGACGATCGTGCAACCAGCTTCAAGGCAGACATCCATGCTAATGCATCCTAGCAGCTGTTTGGTTTTGGATATGCTCCTCAACTACACTCACGCAGATTGGCGGGGTGGGCTCCATTCAAACAACATTTGGGGTCTGAGCTCCCTGGAAGCAATCTTGACCGCAGTCCGCTTATGGCGAGAGCTTCGTGTATGTTCCGCCGTGTGCCGGCCATGGCAAGCCGCTCTGAAGCCGTTCGCTTCTCTAACTCGTGTGTGCTACCGCGCGCTGCGGATACCAGACGGAATCAGCTTGTCCATGCCATCCCTTCAAGACATTGTTCGAACCATTGTTTTGTCAGGAAACACATGGATGCATGGTTTGAACATGATTCACTTGCCGATATTTCTGAATCATGCTTGGCCCGCACGTGTGTCGGCTGTGGAGCTTTCAGCTGAAAGAGGCATTGAGGAAGAGCATTTCTGGAGTGGACCAACGGCTCAAACTGTCAACAAGCATGCAGTTGCTGCCTCCCAAGTTGCGCAGCAGATGCTTCGTGGCGTGCCACTACCCTGGAAGGTGCGGCCACACACCACAAAAACTGAAACACGAGATGGACGCAGATTTGCAGGCTGCGACTTGCTAGATTTTCATCACGAGTTCAAACCGGAGAGATCTGCAGCCGCAGTGTTCGTACATGCAGACACCGACGGGCAGATGCAAGTTTGCCTAGCCGATGGCACCGAACTTCTTCCGCATTCAACTGACGTGCTTGGCCCCTTGATAAACCAGGGAATATCTGTATCGGGGGTGACACGACGCTGGGCATCAACCTATCATCAGCCTCGTGCAGACGGTGAGCCCTGCGGGCTTCCCTTTTGCGGAAAGTCGCGTCGTGCTCCTTGCCATGTCTGCTCGAAAGATAAAGAAGGCCGAACTCGACTGGGAGCTTCCCAGCTTTCAGGCGGATATCAGTTGCACTTCTTGACTGCAGATGCTGCCGAGATCACACTGGAAATCTGCATCGATCTGATTCCCTTCTTTGCAACTTCCAAGGACCCTTCACTCGTGGAACAGCTGCTGGCAGTTGTCCCCTGGGAAGAAGACGAGGAAGAAGAAGAAGGAGGCGAAGAAGCAGGCGAGGAAGCTGAGGAGGAAGATGACTGGGACGAGGACGAGCCGGCACAGCCCGGACCTGGGGAAAGTCATTTTCCCACTGCCCACGATCTATTTCAAGCCGGTGATCTTGGCGAGTCTGTAAGGCCCCCGAGACGGCGCCTGGTGGGGAAACAGCGGCCCCCCGAGAGTTACCGAAGCTGATTGCCCCTTGTCCAGCTTTGGGGACGTGGGCCCCGGGCAAAGTTCCCATCGCAGCTCGCTTGGCTCCGAAAACCCGACTTCAACACAGGTTCGCAAAGCAGTCCCCCCGAAAGTCAAAGTGCTCCGGCCTCTCCCGACCGAGGAGTAACTGCGCCGGCCCTGCGGTATGTGGAGCTCACAGCTGAGCGGCAGACAGGCCTTGGGTTTGCAGACTGCCCTGTACCCGGAAAGCAACACCTTTACAAATCTCAGCGATGACGAGTAGAGCCGTGGGCTCAACAAAAGCTACCGGTAACATTTCGGCTGTCATTCTCATTCTGAGCATTTCTCAGAACCATGTTCTTTTGTATTTATGCCGGTGGATCCCGATGTGTTTGCGTCTTCAGGCACTGAGTTTTCAGGTTGAGGACGTTGTGGCATATGTAGGGGTCTGAACAATGAAAATTGGGTCTTCGTGCACATTATATTGAAACTGCACTAAGGAGCCCGAAGGAATAATACCGTTACTGGTTCACGACCAGGTGCTGGACTACTGTAGCTTGTTTTGGCTAGGCGACGTCTCCAGTTCTGGGTTTACTTCCAGCAGCAGGACTGAAAGTAGGGTTGTATACAAAGAGCAACAACTCGAACTACAATTATGCTACTAATAAGAGGCTGAAGGCTTTCTTGTTCTGGGTCCTGGGCATCCGGGGTTCCGTTTCCTTTGAATAGTTTGCAAGATAAAAGGGTTGCAGGTACTTGAAACAAGCTCGGAACAACTGCGCGGAAAGGCTTGGTACAACTCGTGCTTCTGTGGAACGGCGAGCGCGGGTCATCGGCGCCAGCACTGGAGCCCCCATCATCAAGAAGATCTGATAATGATACCGCGTTAGAACATGTTGTGTTGGCTCCGTGGAGAATTCCGCGTTCAGACTGTTCAAACTTGCTGACATCAAACTTGCGAGACATCACCCTACTGGATTGGTGGGTGATGTCCAGGATCTGAAATTTCCGGGTTCGGGATTTTGAGTCGGGGTCTTGGGGTGCCCCGAACCACCGGATTCAGGAGGAGCTGATCGAGAAGCTTTGGCCTCTCAAGGCCACGGAGAGTGACGTCTGTCGTCATCTCAGTTGTTCAGAACCTCCAACCGCAGGCCAATCAAAAAAGTTTCTTAGCAATATGATGGCTTAGTAAACAGTAGAGGGAAGTGTAACAGTGGAACATGGCCCAATCTGGTATTACACATCCCACCAGAATTTGCAACAGCATGGTAGCCTGTCGGGCGGATTGTCAGAACTGCACTGAGCTGATCTACTCTCCAATCGAGATACGGCAACTAAATTCTGCTGCAACAGAAGGTTCATACAAGCAAAGAGTGGGCTATATCGAGGTTTGGGGATACATAATGTTTGACCGAAAAAGCCAACTAAAATCAAGAGTAGCAGTTCTACTCATGTGCTATGGTGTAGCAGTGCTACAAATATGTCAAACACATGAGTGCAGTGAGGCTACAAATCTTCAGGGGCGTGTTTGGAGTAAAGCTGGGTTGAAGCCTTGTAGGAAGCAGCTGACTTTCTAGGTTCGTTTCTCAGGTTCGCGGGCTTTGAGTCTTCCCTGGTCTGCGTGGAAGCGATTTGCAGTTTTGCTTACGCTTTTGAGTTCAGGATATGGGTTTGAGAGTTCGTGGCTCTAGACTCGGTGGTTTGGGTATGGGTTGGTTGGCCTGCGCTTAAAGCGACTTTGAAGACGTTCATGGCTCAGGGCCTTTGGCCCGGATGTTTCTTGGGTGATTCCAGGCTTTTCGTAAACAGCGACGCCTAAGCCTTACGTTGTGAAGTATGGTCTTTGGGGCCAGAACTCTCTCGGTATGCTTCCTTTTCCACAGATGGAAGGGTCCCAGTACAGGGCTGGAGATTCTAGCATACTCCACTTTGGATCGCAGCAAAGTCGGGGATGAACGAAAAAAGCCGTTTCTACCCGAACAATACCGTCAGCCGAAACCCCAAGCCCAGCCTTCGAACACACCCTCCGCCTGCAATCCGAACGACCGAGGGCACTCCATTTTGGTGCACTGGCGTGCTCCAGACCCGAGCCTTCAGCGGGACCGGAATTCAGGGCGGTGCAAGGCTAAGGCACCTAAGGGATTAGGGTCAAGGCACCGAGGGTATGGCAGCAAGCTTATGTGAAGGATTCCGAGATGTCGGGTCCTTGTTCTGGGGTCCCATATGCAAACGGGTTGTCCGCACTCATCGCAAGTCGAACTCCTGTAATAGTCAAGGGCATGCCGCACAATTCCCAGAGTCTGTTTGCAAACACAGGTTCTATTCATAGTTCAATCTTCGATCAAGATCGTACTGACGGCGATGGCCACGAAGAGCGAGTGCCTCAGCAGGAAATGCGATCGAAGCGACCAGATGCCTGGCAGCAGTGTCGGCCACGGACACGGAGAGGACAGTAGCTTTAAAAAGGTGCGTTTGGGGTTCAGTTTTGAGGGCATTTGGTTTCCTCAGGGTTCTTTCAGAAGCTTTTGACAAAGCCTCTGCTAGAGGCAAAGGGGAGGGACCTCCGTTTGATGCGAGCGCGTGCAAAGAGCGATCCGAACAGCTTCTCGATTGGTCGGCAGGAATGTTGGTGGCCACCGTGCGCGAAGTGCTGGATGGACTGCCCTTCGTTTTCGGGGCACAGAGCTTCCAGCAGGCCGGGATCGAAGCCCTCCGAACCGGCTTTCATCAGGGCTCCCAGATTCCAGGGTTCTCTTTCTTGGAAAGGGGGATGTCCTTCGTCCGAATGCACGAAGTGTCGGGACGCCTTAGGACTCAGGATGTGTTTGCCAGATGCCAGGGTGCTCAAGTTTAAAAGGCGGGTATGCAGGCTGTGTCAGAGCTGCACGTGAGAAAAGAGCAAGAGCCGTCAAGATTTGAAACCGAGTCGCAAGGGAGCAGAGTATGCAAATAGTCCAAGTTTCGCCAGAAATGAGAGGCAAACATGGGCGTCTACGAGCAGATCCTGCGAGACATGAAGGCCAGGGGCGTTCAAATGAAATCCGCCCCCCAAGCTCACTCAGAGGCTCTCCACCCTGAAACTGAAGTCCCGAACCTGAGCTCGAGTCGGAAGGAGGATGGTTCTTGCCATCTTCGCAGCTGGGGCTTTAAACCCTAAACTTTCCTAAACC